ATATTCTCAAAATCTTTTGCCAGGCAATCATATTTATAAGGCTTCCCTGTTCCATCTTCCCCACCATGCCAGCCCTCCCCAGGCTCAGTATCAGCACACACACGTTCTCAGTGAGTGGCCTGGCTGCCCTGTGTGTGTGTGTGTGTGTGTGTGTGCTGCTGGCAGCAGGGCTGAGCAGGGACTCACCTGAGCCGTCGGGCAGCGAGCGCACGAACGAGGGCAGCATCTTCACTGCTGCCGTGGGGTTGGTGTCCCTGGCCAGCCCCTTCAGCATCTCAGCCTGGAAACGAGCTGCCACATCCTGCAGGACATCATCAGAGAGGCGCAGCTGGTGCAGGAACCTGTCCACCTGCAGGGAGGGAAGGTGGCACTCAGCCATGCAGGACCTTGCGCTGCTTGTTCGCTTCATTTTCTGTCACTGACAGATTTTATGAAAATTGTTTTCCCAGGAGTTTTCTCCTGAGAAGCCTCAGAAAAGAAATGTAAACAATAATTATCTGCTTGCTTGGAATGTGGTTTGGAGGTTGCTTGCCAAGAGGTGCAGCTTTGATTGGTTCCATGTGAATTGTTTTTACTTAATGACCAATCCCAGTCCAGCTGTGTCAAACTCCGAGGAGTCAGTCATGAGCTTTCATTATCATTCTTTGCTAGCCTTCTGATGTCTCCTTTCTCTTTCTTTAGTATATAATTTTCTTTTAATATAATATCATAAAATAATAAATCAGGCTTATGAGAACTTGGACTCAAGGTTCTCATCTCTTCCCTCGTCCTGGGGACCCTCAGACACCACCACACATTTTCAACCTCAGCGCTGAAGTTCTCATGATTGCCATTGTAAGCAAGCTCCAGGTCATCATCAGGACATTCACTCTTCTAAAGAAACTTTGGTTTGGAAATGTTTAGTGCAGCCTTGGTGAATCACTGCCCAAAAGCTGGCCATCTCTTCTGATGGCTCAGTAACTTGACAATCTATGTAAGCCATGAGATTTGCTTGGTACCCTGACAAGCTGTTTCCACACCATCCTCTCCTGCTAGAGATGTAATGAGCTAGAACTGCAAAGTGTGTCAATCTGGTGAGAATTTGACCTCTCCAGAAAATGCCATCAGCACCCAAGCATGTCAGCCACAACCCAAAAATGTCTATTCAGCTACTGCTTCACTCCACAGACAATTAACTTTGTTGGCATGCCAGGCTGGAACTCAAAGCTTTTTCCCACTCCAGCTCTGCTCTCCATTCTCTTGTGATTCTAGGATTACATCTAAAACACATTTTTTTGGGGGGCAATCAATACCCTTTGTTAAAGGTCTGCAACTCACAGAATACATCAAAACAGAAGGCAGTTGAATGGAAAAGAATTCCAAATATCTATGAAGCAGCTCAGATAAACTGGCAGAGAAGTTAATCAGTGTTTGTGAACAGCTTCATCAGGGCAAAGTGAAAAGCTTTTTCCTTAAGGAGCACACACTGCTGGCACTGACACATACATACAAAGTCCCACCATGGTTGGATTTAAAAGGCTGCATTGTTTAAACAGAGGGCAATGCAGGTTGTAGATAAGTTGGTCTCTGCTGCAGTTTGGACTATTTTACTACCTATTTTAATGAGGTACAAACTAATCACCTATTCACAGTGCCATTTTAAACTGATGGTCAGCAATGACCCACCAGAAAGAGCCAGGATCCTGAAAGTCCCTCCAGCACTCAACACACACACAGAGGAGAAAATGTTAAACTACAAGATTCAATTGTCCCAGAGCAGCAGCTGCCTTTGGATACAGCTGTGCCTTGAAAAGGCCATTATTAGATTTGTCTTTGTAGCCCTTGTTTGTGCAAGTACTTGGTTTCCTCCAATGGTTTTTTGAAGCTCCCCCACCATGTAGATCCATCATCTTAGCTTATGCACCTGTACAGAGCAGGCAGGCTCTTGGTTTTGCCACCACAGAGTAAATAAGCCTGGAGAGGGAGATGTGGGAAGAAATTTCTTTCTAATAAGCGAGGAATCAGCTCTGTTCTGTAAATCCTACCCTAGGCTGCCTGTAAGAGAAGTCTGAGGAGCATGTGGTTTCCTGCCTTCAGGAAGGGCTAGTCTGAACCTTACAGAAAGACTTTTTGATTTTTTTTTTTAATGCAGCCTTGAATTTTTTTGCCAGAATTCCTCTGCTCTGTTTGCCAGAGCAGCAAAATTCTGTTTGCCAGAATTCCTCTGCTCCCTCGTCTCCACTGTCCTCACTCACTGCAAGCTGGATGTTTCCCTGCAAAGCCCACTCCATCCAAGCACTGCTCCACAAGGCCTTTCTCTTCCTTAATAAAAAGAATGAAGAAATAGTTCTGTCTAGATAAGAGATAGCTCCTCACAGAGGGGAGGGGCAGCCAGGCCTGTTTCTGATCACATTAAATCCCAGGGATAAAAGGGCTATGACTGGGTCAGGGACATCTGATTGTTGAGATATCAGAACCTGTCTCAGAATGCCTCTCTCCAAAACAGAATTAATGGAAGAAGTCCTCCTTGGAGCAGGCCACTCCGTGTTTTGGGCACAGACAGGAGAAGCTGGAGTTGCTCCCTTTGCTGATGAGCTCAGTGATGGAAGCAGATCCAAGCACCAGGACCTTGGATCTGCCACCACACCCACAGCCAGCCCCAGCTCCCACCTTTCCAGAAACCAGAGGATGGAGCCTGGCAGCAATGGCACCTGCCAGCACTCAGTGAAGACCCCAGCAATACAGAGGGGACATGTCCACAAAGCAGAGGACCTCTGAGCCATGAAGCTTACAGGTCTCACATGGTCTCATGATGGACACAAGCCCAAAAACCCATTTCAGCATGGCATGAAAGTAGATTAGGGAAGAGCAACCATTAGGCAGCTCACTGCCAGTACTGATAGCTCCAGATCTGAGCCATCTCAAGCTTTTCCAATTGTAAACATCAGAGTGATTAGCCAGTTTTGGATAAGCAGAGAGGAGGCACAGGAACCCCAACACCAGCTGGAAATCTCTCCTGAATCTCAGCAGACCCAAAGACCACAGGGGTTTTCCCTGTCCCTGCTACATGACTGACTTATTACTGACATGAGAAATCCCATCATTCATGATACATTGCAAGGGGACTCTGCCAGAGTGATCCTTTCTGTCCTCTGGGCTCTTCCACACCATGCCAGATAAAGCCTAAGCACTTTCCCTTAGTGCAGAAAATTTGCTCCATTACTGGGAGAGCACTTACAACTGTGCAGGGAAAACCACTAACCAGACCTATTTTCACACTCACCAGGTGGGTTAAGGTCTAAACACCTCCTACCCCATTTGGCTGAATGGTTTTAGTGGATAATGCCATTATATGGTCTGCATTACTCACTGCAGACCCCTCTGTATCTGGGTAACACAGCTCCTAAAATAGCAACCAGCTAATGCTGCAACTTACCTTTGTTATTTGATCCTCTTTTAGCTTTGTGAAATGGAAAGCTAGCAAGTGGACAGCAAACATTTTCCTGAAGCAGATGGATGAGTCAGTAGTGACAGAGCTGCCGTGAGGAACTCCAAAGCGACAGATCTTTATTCACCAAGCTGGAGCTAGAGAAACTTCAGCAGAGGCATTTTCCCCCGTGTGCAATAGCAGAGTTCCTGGGAAATTGAGTCCAGAAATAAATCCATGCAGTGTGATGGGTCAGTGATTAAACTTGTGCCTCTTTGTATCACACCCCCACACATCACCCCAAAGTCCCTCCCTCCCCAGCCACACACTTCATTGTGCCACAGCAGGCACCTGGAGAGCTGCCAAGCTGAAGGGGAGAAAAATCGATTTTGTTACTGCCCCACTTGGGAATTGTTACCACTTCTCCAAGCAGTTGCTACGCAGCCTGCCCCGCTCCGTGCTCCGTTCCAGGGGCTGACGGGCTCCCACCGCGGCCAGGGCTGCCGGGAATCTGGGCAGCTGAACGGATTCAGGAGACTTCTTCCCTCTGCTCAGCTCTTCTGCATGAACTACCTTCACTCCAGCCCTGCACAGTGCACCCTTATCGGCAGCTTTGTACCAATTAAGCTTCAGCTGTGTAAAGAGCAGAGCCACACAGACCCCTGCCCCCAGCTGGAATGCTTCTTGTGCAATTCCCAGCAGGGAGGTTTGGGCTGATTCTTCTCCCTTCTCCCAAAGCTCCAGAGCAGTGAAGATCCTCAGTGCTGCAAAACCTGGGGGGAGGAGAGATTTAGCTGGCAGAAAGCAGTGTGGGTACCACACTGCCCCACTAAAGGATGCAAGAGCAGCTTCCTTACACCATCAGAGTCTGACACAGCCTTTAACCATCACTCTCAAATCCATCCTGAATACACCAGTGTTTCCAGGATTTTGTCACTGCATCAAGTGATATGGACCATGGAAACATCATCCCAAGGAAACTCGGTGAAATGCTGACACAAAGGAGAGGAAGAAAATAAAAGGCATTCTCATGGGGTAATGAGAGGCTCACCCTCAAACTACACCTACACAGAACGTGTTTCCCCCCAGTTACTGTTCAGCTGAACTGAGCAGTTACTGCAGACAATTGTCACCCTGAATTTTGCAGAACAAGGTAACAATTAAAAATTATTTCGATAGATTAGAAAAACAGCAGGGGGAGAAGAGGAAAGGGGAGGGGGTGCCAAGTAATGTGAGGAAACACAAAGAACTAGTGAGTGGTGGGAATTGTCTAGAGATCCAGAGAAGGGCAGAGGCAGCCAGTCAGTACAAAGGATGTCTGGCCACATCAGTTCACAGCTTAGAGTGGACCCAAGCATCTCATGCTATTGTAAAAAGAATAAAAATGCAGCTGATCATGGTGGGCTGCATCTACAGGAGGATAATCCAGAGGCACACACACCAACACTCAGCCCCAAACTCAGCAGCAGCCCTGCAAAGAGGACTCTGCCCAGTCCTGTCAGCTGTGGCAGGGATCAGGAGCAGTTTGCTCTGCTGAACATCAGGAGCACTCACAGGTCACATTTTTGCAGCTGCTGATCACGAGGAAAGACTGAAAGAGCTGAGGGAGGGGAACTCCCTCTGCACAGACAAATCACACAGAACCTCTGCTAGGAAAGGTCTTTTTCTTTTTTTTCTCCTCCTGCCTTGCATCAGGGATGAGCTCTGGACACTGGGAGATCCTGCCAGCTCTATTTATTTTCCATTATTCTAGAACAAGAGTAAAGCAGACAGAGTGGCTGAGCAGTCCATAAATAGGGCTTGTTCTAAAATTAGGCCTTTGATCTTTGAGAGAGAGAGAGAAAAGAAAGAAGAAAATGAGCCACACTAGCAGCCAGAAAGCACGGTTCACTTCTCCTCTATTCATCTCTCAATAACTGCTGGCTCGTTAAGTCAGACACTGACTCCCAAAGGGACTGTCTCTCTCCTCATTGTTTACCCATGCCACTGAGGCACAACCCCTCTGGCCAGCAAAACTGAAAACATCACCTTTCAAGCTCCATCCCCCTTTGATCCGGAGCTCATTGTGTCTGTAATACAGCAGATTTATTTTTCATTCTCTCTTTTCTTTCTTTCTCTGGCGGACACGACTGGAAAAGGGTCTCAGAGATCTCAGTGTTCCTGAGCTGGCAGCAGGCTCTGTGAAATACCTGACCTGTCACAATCACTGTGTAAGCTGCTCGCTCACCCTCAGTGCATCCCAGCTTCCAGCAGGCTGCTGTGCAAGAGAACACAAGACATGATCTCATTTCCACCCAGACAGCACCCAACACCCAAAAGTGTCACAGCCACTTTGTACCCATCCTGGCCAGCACAGGGGAACCAGCCCAGATCAGCTCCAACCTCACGCAGCTTGGGAGCTTGAGGGGAGGTTGTTTTTCCCTTTTGTTAGACCTGCACCAATAAAAATCATTCACAAACCTTCCCTCCCTGCTTTGCAAGGGCCAACAACAGTTTAAAATTGTAATGCCTCACTCTGTACTTTCTTCTCCTGCAGTTGTGCCTCCAAACCCCATGGAGAATCCTGAAGAGTCTGGTGCTCATCTGCCTCCCACAGCCTTGCAGTCAAAGGCCTGCAGAGATAAGGAGCTCATAGCTAAAATGGGGAAACTCACAAAAAAGTCTTGAGTACATCAGCTAAACATGCCCTTGTTACCGCCAGAAAGAGGTACCACATCAATAAGCATTTTATTGTGAGATAAACTCACCTATCTTTGGTGAGGTATCAAAGGCAGTAGCAATGCTGGCTGCTAAATTTGGTGTCCAGGTTAACAAAGAGACAGTGGACAAGGCTCCTAGTGAGTCATCAGGGGAAATCCTTCTTTGTTACAGTTTGTGATGATGCCTCAGGTTTTAGCTTTTATATTTTTCACATTCTGTGCTGCTTTGATGTAGTTCTGAGCCTCACATTAGGGGGTGGTGAGCTCTGTGCACAGAGCAGGGAGACAAAACAATTCCTGCTCCAGCTGGGCACCAAGGGCAAATGATCCAGATCTCAGCCCAAGAGCACAAACACCGTGGGCTGGAGAGAGAAAAACAAGCAGGGTGGGACTGCCTGGGCTAAAGCTGGAATGGGACAATGAACTGCAAGGTGCAAATGGAGCAGAACTTATAAAAGTGAGAGACCCTGTGCCCAGGTATCCATTTTGGTTCATCTCAGGTGTAGCCTTGGCTGGGCTCTTGTGCTGCCCAAGGTGGATCCACTGAGGAGATGCTTTTAATAAATCCCTACTTTATTCTTTAACTCTGTCCAGCCTCTATTCTAAAGTCAACCTTCACAAGGCATCAGTGATTCCAAAACGAACCCCTAGAACACATTCCCCCTTCCCTGCAGGAGCAGCGGGTTCATCCCCCATTATATTGCCATAAAATCATCAAAGTTCAGGAGAGAAAGGGGTCCCCATAGCCATTCTTCCTGCATATGCCACTCCTAGGGCAACATCAGCACATAAAGTAAGGCAGAACACCTGAGGGGACTGACTGGAAAAACCAGAATAGAGATGGAAACAGCACAGACAGGACAGAGCATACTGGGCTTAAAAGACAGAAGGATTTTACCAAGCAGTGCTGTTACAGCCAGCATCTTACATTTGAAGGACAGCAATAAACAGTTAATGAATAAACTTCCAAACATCTCTAATTTTGATGCCTGAAATGAATCTGGAAATCTGAACACCTGAAATAGTTTTACAAACGTGATTCCCAGATCAAGAGAACAGTGTTGTTGTTGCTTAAAAATAAAGCTTCAGCACAGCCCTACAAGGCAGATTAAAAATGGATAGTTGGGGTAACTGCACCACAGCAGTCCAGATTGTAGCACATGGGACCAATCTGGCAGCCATTCTAATGGGAGTCAATGACAGCCACACCATTAGCCCAGAAGAAAAGAAAACTTCCATAAAGTCAGCCTGGAAACGCCTGAATAAACTTCAGAGCTCCTACAACAGTTACTATGGAGTCCCTATGGAAACAAGCAGAGAGTTAAGCAAAGTGCTAATCTCAGCAAAATACAAAAAAGAATGCTTATAGTCATTTAGCTTCTTTATTGCAGGGCTTGGTGCTGAAACACAAGGCTGGCTTAGACCCTGAAGTCCCAGACACTCTTTCCTTGCTCAAAAATATACACTAGCACTCAGCTTACCGTGTGAGTAAAGCACAAATTCAGCCTAAAAGAAGCACAACATCAGTGTGGGTCTCCCACAAGCCAGAGAAAATGAGAGTTGTCCATGGTGGACAACCCAGGGGGTTTCAAACAGTGGTTTGCACATCCACCCTGGGAAGTGCTGAAACCCCTTCTGTAAATGCACAGCAGTTTCAGCATCTGATTCTCTCCACTCTCCAGCATCCAAACGCCCACCTTAAAGCTGAAAACCAGATCACAGTAACTGAAATTCACTCCAAAATTCTTGTGGCCAGAATTCCATCACTCCTGACACATTACCACAAATGATTTTAACCTCCTTACACATTTTCACAGGACACAATGGTTAGAGGCACATGACTCCCATCACCATTCTAAGCCAATTTTGTTCTAGGCTGTTCATCACTTGTTTGTGGTCTGTTAAACTCTGCCCTTTGGGAAGGGGTGGAATGAGTAGCTAATTCATTACTAGTGAAATTTCTGACATTTATTGATGATGAGAGGATATCCTGCAAGAAGACACCAAGTTCAAATTTTCACACAGCAGTAGATCATACACTGATGCTGATCACCATGATTGAAAGTGGTTAAAACAAACTTATGGCCTCTGAGCTTTGAAGAGTCCAGTTCTCTGAGTGCTTCACATTACTGGTCACCGGAGAAGGAAAAGCATCAAGGAGCTGCAGCAGTGTAAACATGAAATGCCAAAGAAGTTATTAAAATAGTATTTTATTTTATGAATAAAAACTAAACAGAATTAGGGCACGGTTCTATTTTCTCTTTTTCCTCGTTTCCTTTGAACTATGCTGATCATCTCTCTTTGAGCCAAAGCCGTATCTACCATTCCTGTGCTGATCCTGCCACTCACTCTCCAGCTGTCTCAGCATTTCCTGGGTCAGAAGTCCCTCCCTCAGCAGTCTGTTGGCAAGGGATCCCCGGCCGTAGCTTTTGAGCTCCTCCTGCCTGCCCCCCAGCCGGGAGGCTCTCGTGCTCTTGGCTCTCCTGAGCCCGGCAGCCTCCACTGCGATGGACAGAGCCTCCGTGGAGGCCGCGCCGTGGCGCTCCGACACCGCCCTGGGCTCCCTCTGAGTCCCTGAGAGAGGAAAATCTTCTGCCACCACCTCAGCTGTGCCAGGGGCAGCTGCAGACTGGGAGGCTCGGATCAGCTTTGTGATGTTGCAGACACCAATCTGGATAATGTCATCCAGCTGCTTCTGGATGTCCCTCACGAGGGCAGCGTCAGGGAACATGTCCATGAAGCGGTAACTGAAGGGAGGCAAAAGGACACACAGTTAAACCTTCTCACTGGGACAAACGTGGGCTATGGACTAAGTAAAATGAATATTCATTACATGTTGCATGGGAATACGTATTTTAATTTGCATTTCAGCTGCTCCAGTCCTTGTTTCTACCCTTCTCCTTCTGCAAGTCACACACTGCTGCCTGCAGAACTCACTCCCTCAACACTGATTTGTCAAGATCCCCTAAAAGGCCAAAGGAGCCCATCCTGCTCCATGCACATATGGGCCTCTGTTCACAGGGGTCTTAGGATGAAGGATGAGATGAGGATCTGACTCCATGTTTCAGAAGGCTTGATTTATTATTTTATGATATATATAATATTAAAACTATGCTAAAAGAATAGAAGAAAGGATTTCATCAGAAGGCCTGCAAAAAATATTAAAGGAATGATAACAAAAGTTTGTGACTCTCACAGAGTCCGAGCCAGCTGACTGTGACTGGCCATTAATTACAAACATCCACCATGGGCCACTCACAGATGCACCTGTTGCATTCCACAGCAGCAGATAATCAATGTTTACATTTTGTTCCTGAGGCCTCTCAGCTTCTCAGGAGGAAAAATCCTAAGGAAAGGATTTTCCATAAAAGATGTCTGCGACAGGCTTCAAGACACTGCACTTCTAAGACTGCAAGTCATAAATAACAGGAAAAAAATAAAGTCTTCAAGCACAAAGACAGTACCTTAACCACAGATAGAGGTCAAAAACATCATGCACAGCTTCGAGGTGTACCAGCTCCTTGATGTTCTTTGGAGCAGCCAAGGGCCACTTGGTGTGGCGGCAGAGCCAGTCGAAGGTCAGCGGCTCGTTCCTGCTGAACTGCCGAGCAAACTGAAAACCAAACACAAGAGATCCCCAAAGAGTTCAATCCCCCAGAGTCTGTATGCACAGAATACTCCATAAACACCTGCTTTGTTTTACACAACCCAAATGCCACACATTCTTTTACTTAATTACCCAACACAGGAGTCACCTCTCCTTGCCAGGGCCTCATTAACACAATTTGTCCACGGGCCATGCACAGAGTTAAGCAACAAAAGCACAGAGCTATGCAGAAAAGTGTAACACTGAAGGCATTTGACTGCATCTAGCAAAGCAGATGGACTTTGTGTCTTTTTTAATCTTCCTCACCCTATTTGGTGAATTATCTTGTTTCAAGGTTGCCAGAGTTTGGAATATTAAATGTATTA